CTTGGTCTGCTTGCAGATGCTTGGCTGACATACTGCTGCATAATTTGCTGGTGTCGCTGCATTTGCTCACTATTCTGGGCCAACTGCATATGTAGCATAGCTGCGGCTTGAGCTTGAGCTGCTTGTGCCTGCTCGTAGGGCGTCATGGCACCTGAACCATACTCGTCATCATCCTCATCCTCAGCATACTTCTCCTTGGCGTTTACAGAGTAAGAACGGAAACGATTTGCCTTGTGCGCATCAATAAGATTGTAGATTGGATTTGATAGTTGAGCTCGAGGAGGTTGTGGAGTTTCAGCAAGACCAAGGTAATCAAGAGTCCTTATCTTATCATCATTGTTTCCGTCTCTTGAGAACGAAGATTGTGCAGGGGAATCAATGCCGTTAGAGGACTGACTAGCAATGCTGTGCAAGGTCGAGGTCCTTTCACGACCGCCTGAAGATGGACCCCAATTGGTGAAAAGTGACGGGTGACCAAAAGGCGAAGTTTTATATTGGGGATTTTGAGGGGTTGAACCCGAACGTAATCGATTCAACAACCCTGTGCTAGTGGACGGATCTCCCAGATCGCCAAGATTTGTTGTAGTAGTTTGGAATGGACTCTGTGATGGTGTGGGTCTTGATGTCTTCGATGCGAGACCCAGACCTGGAGCTGCATTCAGAGGCCCCCCTGACGAAAATCGAGATGGGAGTGTGCCAGCACGACCTCGACGTGTTGGTATCGTTTCTGTCGTTGGTAGCTGGGCAAAGTCTGGAAATCCATCCGTGGGAGACTCTGGTATAGTTTCTCGAAGTGGGGTAGAGTTGCCACTTGTTGGAGGTCCCCATACATTGCTACTATTAAAACCCCTTCTTGCACAATTTCTCGTGTCCTGTAGATAACGACATCAGTACTTGTATCACGATCGAACTGTAAAAACAAAATCATACCTTTTGGCGGTTGGGGGATATCGATTAGCACTTGACTGTGTGTTGAGCTGATCATGCGATGGAGAACCAGCTCCCGATCGCGTGTTGCTGGCCATTTTGCCCGCAGAATTTAATGGTAAAGCGCCATATGGCGATCTCAAGGAAGGAAGTCCTGTCGAAGCTTCGGTGGGGGAGGTGTTGGCCGTTGAGGAACCCGATCTAGGGAACCCAGCGGCCGACTGAGGTAGATGGGTAAGATTAGGATGTTCGGATCTCTTATTTGACATTATAGATTATTCGGTCTGCTAAATTCTCTCGATTATGTACGAGAGATGACAGATCTGTTGATTCCGAAATCGAGATTGATATCCGTTGATATAGTAAACTTTGTCAATAATCTTGGCAGTGAAGATCAACAGATTTAGGTCCGACTAAATTTTTGGTGTGCAACAAGAATACGAGTGCCTAGTAAACTCTGTACTAGATAAAGATTGTGTTGACGGGGTCGAGAGAGTTATTCGATAAGCTTCTTCTGGTAGAAAAGACGAGGGACTAATCTAGAAGGCGAACTCTTCAATGGGTCAAATCAATGACTTCCGGCAAGAAACAAAACTTAGAATTGAATGCGTCGATTGAATTGAAGGAAGGATTGATGATCCGATGGGGGCTCGGTCGTCCTGTGATAGTACAAAGTCTATTGGCAGTAAAAGGATGATACTGAGACTGGACTTGTGCTTGGATTATAGCTTTTGAGGGATTTCGAGAACCCGGGACTGAACGATGGAAGAAAGGGTTTCGTGTGAAAGGATGGCCTCTGTTGATAATTGTTGATTTAAGAGTTTCCGTTTCGATATACAAACCTTCATTAATACATAAGAAGAAGTGCTAACATGAGGTACGAAATTATGAGCTGAGGTACAAAACGAGAGAGAAAGTAATGTAATTGTTCGCAGTGAAGTTTTAAGTTGGATGGAGAGGAAGGTGAAGAGAGATATTAGATATTCATGGATTGTTGAGATGGACCGTGTCTTTCGAAGGCATTCGCTTATTGAGCTTTAGTGCGATGTGCTGAAACCACCAGAGCTTGTCTGCTTGGACGAAAATGGGTACAAATGGAAAAGCAAATCCTTGACGGGATGTCCTTGGTTTTTTGGGTTTTGGGGGGGTTTTGGGTAATGCGAACTGATGTGTTACCAAATCCAACGCAAGACGGAGGGCGATGAGTGAAGAAGGAGGGTGAGAGGCTTGGACTTGGTTACAATACAAGGAGAAAATGGCTAGCAAGACAGGCAAGAAAAGGTACAGAAAGCGACAGAAAGATACAAAGCAATGAGTAAAGTGACGATGATAGATACGGGATACGGTACAAGATGTATTGGTTATTACATGTCTGGTGAGTTTATATTCAATAACAAAATAATCGTAAGCAGGGCGGATGAGGTCAATTTGCGAGTGAGTAATGTAATGTCATGTCATGTATGTACTCGAGTGACTGGAGTTTTTATATACACCTTTTGATCGACCAAAGAATCAGTCCATTCCGACCATTAACAGAGACGAATTAAGTGTATGACACTTGATTCGATAATTCAGGAACTAATCAACTTGCTATTCTTTTCTCACTCTCTACTGGTGCTAGTATCTTCCCCTTGTTCGATTCATTCAACTTAGCCTTCTTCTCGAAGTCTCTTCGCTCTTTGTCGACTTGGGCAAGTGAAGGTCCGTCGGTCCATGGCGTGGTGGTGAACTCCGTTACTAAGCTCTTTCTCCTTCAAACAACCTTTGGTTGATTGACACCTGGGCATTATTGGAGCGACTTTTATTTTAGGACAATGATTAGTTCGATGCGAAGTTGTTGTACCAAAGCTTGAGATTGAGAGTAGACACTACGGCACTGGTAACCTTTTGATGGATCACGGGTCACGACAACCGCAAATAGTCAAAGTGCTACGGATAAGTTCTAAATGCTTCTAGCCAAAATAGTCAAAATGTTCAAAATCATCATTCAAACAATGCAATCCCGTTGCCACCGGTACACCTGAGTTCAGATTCAATCATTCTGAGGGCTCACCTCCGTACATATACTTTGCATCAAATCTCCCATCGCCTGCTGCAAGACTTTCTCAAAATAATATCTCACCGCATATCATGTAGGTAGGGACATACATATATTTCCGACTATCAAGATACTCACTCCTGCAGCTGGTGATGGCTGTTATTCGAGTGACCGCTATCTGACTGCGAATCCCATTATTAGCTCTCTGTCTGTCTCTACATAGCCTTCTTTCTCCTCCCTCACCGAGATATCCTAGCTGTTTCTTTGCATTCTTTGGAGAGACTTCGGATGAGGAGGAGTTCTATTCCCTGATCCAGTCTAATCCCCTCTCCAGAGATTTGGGGTCTGTTTCAGGATTTAAGGTACGGGATTGATGCAGTGTCACAATTTCAATCATCCTGCATTCACACCAATGACTTCCATCCAATGACTTCATGGTATTGCAACGTTCCTGACCAAATCTCCCCTATTTTTGAATTTGCCCATCCGTTCAGAGAAGAATGCCCCAATCCGTTGCACGTAACATTTGTTTTATGCTTATTATCTCTCCCGACCAGACCTGAAAAAGTCCCGGTCGGTATCATCATGTTCTTCTATCGCTTCGACCATCATGACTGCGCTGAACTTTGGAATGTAATGCATTGATCTTTGGCTTGTTTTGTATGACAATGGGACACGCACGCACTGAAGCTAAACAAAGAACTAAAGTCCAGTCTAATTCCTCGGATCCTTCGATCTATTACTTACTGGTACTGACTACTTTTAGGCTTCGCAAGCTATGCGCAAGTTCAACCCTCGTCTTGAATATGCCGTACTCTTACCCCTTAAAAATTGGCAATCGAGTCCGGAAGGTTGCGCGGAATTCTTCAATTAATGTCTTGATCTTCGATACCTGGGTATATTTTGACTCGGACGTTCGATTAAATGTCAGCTTTGATTGGCGTTTCCATATTCATGGCTTGTAATGTTCATAAACCCTCGTCTCTGATTGATCTTTTTCTGCTGTTCGATTCATTTTGAAACGTTAGCTTACATACCAGGTATGGTAATAAATGCATATATGTGAGCAACTCCAACCGTGTCCATCTCTTCAATCGGAAAGCTTCACAGCCCTGTCGTCTGCTCCAAGAGCACATCTTTTTTAATCTAAAAACGAATATAAACTTTCATTGCGAGATTCATCCTTGAGGCGATTTGCATACGGCTTATTGGCTTGTCACGGTGATATCTGAAATGCTGCTAGAGGGTACAAAGATGTATTTTGGTATCAAAAACACAGGATCATCGCTGAAGAAAGCGTTATATTCGTGAAATGCCAATGTTTGAGATGTGTTATGGTTCTTCTAGAAGTCTGTTTGCATGAATGATGTATTGGTACTGTGACTTTCAGATAAAATATGAGCATGGAGCAAGTTTTATGAGACTTCCGACCACTTTCCTAGATTTCTATTAATAAACCAAAAGGCTCAGGGAAAAGTGTCCTCAATATACTTCGTATATATCTTCAAAGGCTGTGAGTCTGGTTCCGGTAGATGGCGAGAATGATAGCAAGGATTGAGATGTCAAAACCCACTCAACTCGTACCAGACTTTGTAAATAAATGGATCATGTGACGTCAAGATCAGCAATTAGGGTTGTGTTCTAGCAGAAATTTTAAGTCAGGTGTTAGGTGACGATACGGTGACCTTTCCGACGGGAACTTCCTTAGCAGTTCCCTTGTTTATACGCCGCCGCTTTACTAGCTGTCGCGTGGTTTTCGTGTTTTAGTCATTAAGCGGCGTTGCGACCGGTCGAGATCTTCACACGTGATTCTGGGGATCTATCAGCGAGACCGGGAAGGTACGGCTTAAGGTTGTTCCGCCATATTGATTTTCGACAACAATAATTGTGATCGAACTTCAACATTGCAAGATGAGTGTCGCACAGTCAAATAGCATATAGTGGCTACCGGTAGTGAATAACAATTCTGCGCAATATTCGAAGACAATTTATTTACCCAAATTTGCGACAGCGCATTCAAAACAATTCAACAAAAATGGCCGACGATATCGATGAGGATACCCCGATGCGAACTGAGGAGAATTCATCCGATGACGACAGTGGTAGCGATAGCGAACAAAACGGCGGGGATCGAGATGGCGAAGGAGAAGTGGAATGGATGGTCACATCACGACAAAAACGTTCGACGGCAGGAAATCGATTGAATGCTTTACTACAACAAGAAGAACCAGATGACGAATTAGAACTTCTATTCGCAGAAGATGAAAATGAAGAAGATCATGGATTTGTTGATGTGGAGGCCGATTCTGATGTACAAATGGATTCATCCGATGACGACGATGATCAAGGACCTGCAGCCGGCGCAGATGACCTCGAAGGAGAGAAAGAGTTGCAGCGCAAGGAAAAGGCCGAACGATTAGCTAAAAAGCGCAAGATGACTGATGGCATGCCGAAGATATTCAAAAAGAGAGTCAAGATCGATCCCACAATTCCTTCGAAACCTGCTCCAAGACCGAAGAAAAAGTCCGAACGGGCTTCATGGATTCCAACTCCAGAGGATGCGCCGACTCGAGCTTCGGCTCGTGGTACGACCCAAAAAAGTAAAGAACAATTACATGCGCAGATGATAGATAGGGAAAAGAAGAGGTTAAAGCAATTGGCCAACATGGAGAAAGCAGCTGCAGCAAAGGAAGCCGCAAGGAAACCAGCCATGACGCAGGAAGATAGATTGGCAGAAGCTGCAAGGGTAGAGAAGAGCAATTCCAAGAGTCTAAGTAGATGGGAAGAAGCAGAACAACAAAGGGAAGAAGAGCAGAGGTTAAAGTTGGCGGCATTGCATAATAGAAAATTGGATGGGCCTGTTATTACTTGGTGGAGTGGACGTGCGATGTGGGTTGGAGGGAAATTAATTGCACTTGGATCAAAGAAACTCAAACCGGATGAGCCCAAGGAAAAATCGAAGAAGAGAAAAGCTGGAGAAATGGAGGATGAGAGTGAAGCTGGGTCTGTAGAACCAACTACCTTGAAAGGAGCGGCTGCTCCAGGTTCGGCTACAAACGATACGCCAATTAGCGATGTAAAGGACTCTACACCTGGAACCACTTCTGGAGTCACTAATAGTGATGTGAATAAAGATGGAATTTCGTTAAAGCAGGAATCAATATCAGACAACGTTCTACATCCTCCTCTCCACCCAGAATCACAACCTATCGGCGTTCTCAAACCACCACAGCCACCGACTATTCCACCATCAACCAGCATTCTTCAACCACCAAACCAAACATCCGGAGTTGTACCAAATATAAGTGGACTTCAACCACCTCAACAAACCACCGGTGCCGTTCCCCATATAAACGGACCTCTTCAACTCCCCCAATCCCACAACCACGCCGTTCCATTCATCCCCCTCCAAGCTCCTTCCACTGTCCCTCCATTCTTCCTTCAACCCCCATCCCTCGATGGTTCCAAACCCCTCCCCGGTTTTCAACCTCCAAATACAAACTATCCTCGCCTAATGCCTTCTCAAACAACTCCTTTCTCTTTCGCCCCTTCTCAGCATTACTCGCCTTATTCTTCGGCCTCGGCTCCTCTTCCTCCACCTCCTCCACAACCACCTGTTACGGAATACTCATTGAGGAATTGCTTAATTCTTACCAATTTTAATGATGATGAAATTAAGAATAAAGATGTACAGACGAGGATTCTTTTCAACCAAACGTTTCCTAAAGCTCCTAGTAAGTTTTCAGCCCTCCTCGTCTAATCAATTTTTTCTTCAACCTTTACCTTCCCTTCTCCAGCGATTATATGTTTTCCTTCCGCCGTACTAACTCCATCCCTTAGCAAAAACCAAATCACATACCCACCCCCCACGCACCCTCTGTGCAATAACACACTACCCCGCCAAATTCCGCGACCCAAAGACAGGTTTACCATACGTAAACTCGTATGCATATAAAGAGATCCAGAAATTATTAAGAGGAGAATATAGATGGAGTAAATTACTCGGTGCTTATGTTGGGAATGCTAATGTGGCCGCGAGAGGAGTACCTGAAAAGTTTCTGAGGGTGGTGAGAGAAATATACCGCCAGTGGTGGGCACGCCAGGGATGGGAACTGGAACTGGAACACCTGGTATAGCAATTGGAAAGGATATTCCGATTTCGGGATAGAGTGAGATGGTTCCATTACTACGCAATGAGATATTATGAGCAGATGCAGGCGTCAGGCGTCGGGTATTAGGAAGGAGAAATAAGGTGGAATACTCCTACTTACAACTAGAGCACTACCAGCTACCAGTTACCAGCTTTTGGGTATTCGCTATTACTTACTAGCTAGAAACAGCATATCACTGCTTGCTAGTTTTGATTGTATACTCTCAATTCAACTCATCAGCTCAGCTCAGCTCAGCTTCGCTTAGCGATAGCTATATGAATGAATGGATAGAATAAGTTAAATCAAGATATCCATAGAGTTCAACATGCGGATATTAATAGGCGAGCGCGTTTCAGTAATAAATGGCGTTAGATGAATATCTAGTTAGTATTTAGTATATGTACGTGATGTGATGTAATGAGATTCTGTGAACTTTACCTCGGGAGATGGATTACGAGTGGTGGAGAGGAACGTAAGAGGGGGTGAGAGGGAGAGGAGGGGAGGGGAGAGGGAGAGGAGAGGGAGGGGAGAGGGAGGGGAGAATGTATGTGTACATGCATGAGAGTCTGTACTGCTACTGTGCTGTGCTGTAGTCTATTTGGATGTTGAATGTGCATGGAGTGTGGAAGGATAGAAGGACGTCTTTGTTTGTATTTCTTTTATTGTTGTTTGAGATTGGTTGTTCATCTCTCTTTGGGGTTGCTTGGATTGGCTTGCTTGTATTATTATTATTTGGTATGAATAGTTGTATATATGAATGCATATAAGAATGTAATTATGATTGTAATTGTAATTGTAACTCCATTCTCCTGCATCCTATTTCATTATGTTTTCCATTATCCTGCTTTCCAGAAAAACTGAAGAATTGATAATTGATGATCTTAAAACAGACTCCAGCTGTCCAGATTAAATGGACTACAGCACGACAAATCCAGAACCCGTGACCTGATCTTAGATTAGAAAGATGGGGTCCGAGCTCCTTACTTTAACTTGGCTTAAATTAACTGTACCTAACTTAAGCACGACTCTGAAAGTTGATTCTTTGAAAGGGATGATGTTTGATTTGTGATGACATTTCTTTTTTGTGGGGGGAAGTTGTTGTTGGAGGTGGATATTGATGAGGTTGGTTGTGATGATGATGTGTGATTTTTGAGTATGAGAGGGGTGTTTGTGGAATTCCTTTTGAAATTGGCTATGGAGGGAGATGAGGGAGATGGAGGTTAAACGTGAGTTGTTCGGAGGTTACTACCTACTACCTCAATATGTTTCGAGAGGTGGAACTTCCTTCTGGGGAAGGGATTATATGGAGTTGGTTGGGAGAGGGGTATGAGGTATGCGACATAGGTGGTGACTATTTGATGATATTGGGCACTTGTCAAAGGATGAAAGAACGAAGGAACAAAAGAACGATTTGGATTTGGGTTTGGGAGGTGGGCAGGATATATGGAATGGTATGAGGAACAAAATGGTAGCAGGAAGGGTGCGGAGTTCGTTTTCGGGAGGAGAAGTAATTGAGAGCGAGGGGGTTGATTGAAAGATCGATTTGGATTTTGGTTTGCACGATGGCCAAAGTTTGTGGAATGGGGAATGAAATAGTGATGGAATGATTGTGGAGTTCGTTTTCGCGAGGAGGGTGTTTGAAAGCGACGGGGAACGGAGAGGAGGAGGATGAAGGAGTGTTCTGGTTATGAGGATGTGCAGAGTCAGGGGGATGAAGGTTTGGGGGATAGTGAAGTCTGGAAGATTGGGAAATAGAGGGAGAGAGGGGTCGCATACCGTATTCGAAACTGTTCTGGTAAAGACAGCGTATGGGATGTTTAATTCTTGACTGTAGAAGGGAGAAGAGAGGAAGGATAATCTCTCCTAGGAGGTCAGACGGAGGAGAAGAGAATGGAATGCTTTAAGGAGAGTGTAGGGTGAACAGCAGGGAAATAGGGGGAGAATGAGGCATTACAAACCCTACGATTCGAAGGAGAAAATCACAAGTATAAGAGGAGATTTGTGCTTACTTACTTTTGCAGGTAGGGGACTGCGGTCTAGGGTCTAAAGGTGAATTAGGTCTTGCATCCTGGATATCGAAGATACCTGACAGAGATGAGGAATTAATCTGGTAGCAGGCAGTCTCTACGTATCATGAGTTGTGATGCTTTCTGTTTATAAGCAAGCAAGTGCTGAACTGGAGAATATGAGAAGAATAAGAGTGAGCTAGTGCTTACTTCTCTTGTGGATAGCAGATTCAGGTCTAAGGGAGAGTTGAATCCTGGACCTTCAACTGTCGTGTAAGGGCTAGTGGCATCCTAAATCAAGTGTCTTCAAGCGTCCGAGTCTGATTAGACCATTCAGATCTTTTAAATATTAAATGCTTGAACTTATTCTGCTATGCTAATTCAGAATATTGGATACACTGCCACTCACAGTAATTTCATGTAGTTTGGAGGTATAGTGGTTGCAAAGTGTGATAAATTGCGATACTTTTCACTTTGCGAGCAAGTGCTGAACTATCAGCCCTGTATCTTATGCATAGGGATTATTCTTCCGGATCAGGACGTGGTAATATGTTCAATTCAAGCTTGAAGAATAGGCAAAATACACATTTTTAATTTTGGAATCGATACTAAATTCTTGTTTCTGTTGATTTGTTTGTATTCCGTTGACTTATTCATCTTCCTGCAATCATTACCCATCCATTGTATCTTTATCTATTCATGCCAATCCCCAGTATTCTTACGGTCTCTATTGCTCAAGTCTTCTCCAACGTGCAAGTTCGCTACAATGCTTTCCTACCACTATCCTTTTTTCCACATTACCTGCATATTCCGACCTCTACCAATCTTCCATGATCCACTTCATCTCAGATATCATCATTCAAGCCGGAACAAAAGACCTTACCACCACTTTGTTGGACGGAATTGGATTCTGTATACCCAAAGCAACACCCGAGGCACGATATGAAAGAACAAAATCTTTAAGTCTGGCAAAGTCAGGTTCTCTTAACTTTCGCTTCCCTTGGGAACCCACATTGGATGCTGTGAAGTAAAGTTTTTCCAGCCCTCTAAACCATGTCCAGAAGTTGTCATTCCAAACTGGCGTGCGAAAGAAACATGCTTGCAAATCAGAATCATTGAGAGTTGGGCCTTTAGTGGAGACTTCGCGAATATCTAAAACCCTGACACAGGCAAATCCATTGGGCAATAAATCCTGGACATGTCGCAACCATTCTTTAGTTTCGTTGTATCCCCATGCTGGTATTTTATTGAGAAAGGTAATCGACGCTGTGTCGATCTTAGGGTTGAAGATCAAGGGCATCGGGTTGCGAGTGCCGTAGAACTTGTGCATCGCTCGGTAGTGAGGCTTGTTTATAGTAATATACTTCATGTTCCAGTATGCTCGGCTGTCTCTATCTACTCGAAAGATACCTGGGATTGTACATTTATACTCCTGTTGGCGACTGGACCTCGGTGAGTTGATGAGGTCAAAGTTGACAGTTCTTGGTTCCGGTAAACAGATTTCGTAGATCATGTGTCTGATTTCGATAGGAGCAGTACGCAACATATTTCTTTGGCTTGGGTCGATCGGGACAGCGGGAGGAGGGTTGAAAGCCTATTGTTATTGGAAGTTAGTAATTGTCCTCGACAAATGAACATATATGATCATGAGGCTTTGCATATTCTGACTTACGAGGAACATAATGCGACACTGGGTCATGTGGTCATTAGGAGCGGGAGCAGCAATGATCGCATTGTCACCGGCATCATCGCCGACTTTGTTCTCTCCATTTTCTCCTTGGGGAGAAATAGTGTTATCGGCAGAGATGACATCATCCATCATGCTTTCGTCTGACATTTCGATGTCGTTGTCAGCTGCGTCTGCTCTATTTTCTTCGTGAGAAGAGAAAGTGCCATCCGCAGAGACAGTACCATCCATAGTTTGTGCGTCAGTCATCTCGAAATCGTTGTCGATCGCATAATCTCCGTTGTTCATCTGACTTTGAGAAAACCTATCGCCGTCAATGTGGAAACCTCCATCTGCGATTTGCTCTTGAGAGAACATATTGCTGTCAGTCTGGAAGTCTCCATCTTCCATATGATCTTGAGAGAACATATTGCTGTCAGTTTGGAAGCCTCCATCTGCTGTTTGGTTGTGGGGAAGCATATCGCCGTGAATAAGTGAACCTCTATTGTCCATCTGATTTTGATTAATCATGTTATCGTCAACGGGGAAACCTTGATTCTGCAATTGCAAACGCATATATTGGGCGTCAAGGTAACCTAAGTCGAATCCATCTACAACATGGTGGGTCATTGTTGCGGATTTTAGAGGTATCGAGAACTCGAGAGAACCCGCAGGATTTGGATTTATCGAGTTAACAGTCGAGTTTCGAATGACGAAACTATCAGTAAATAAAGGGAGAAAATAGAAAGGTTTCAAAAAAGTTACCAAAAGTTTTGGAATTAAATCTTGATATCACAATTGGTGATTGTGCGTTTGGACGTTGGAGTGGGAGAGCATGTTGTAATATCTTAAGCGATTTAATTCAATTCTATTCTATTACGAACTTCGTTAATTTTATTTGGTATAGATCGCATCGAAGCACTTATATGAATAATGAATGCTCTGCTCAATAATCTGTTCACTGCTCTTTTCACTGTTTTGTCCGCGGCTCCACTCAATGCGCCATTCAATGCTCTTTTTACAACTCTGTTCACGACATCGTTCACGGCATTTCTCACTACCCTTCTCACTGCTCCTTTGACTACCTTTCCATCTCGAATCTTCTCTTGAGTACGCAACTTCTATTACAGCAACACATCTCATCCATTTCAATATGTGGATATCTAGATATCTAGATGGATTTTGCGGGGAAATGTCTTCCCCGCGGTAACGTGTATTTAATCCATTTCAACATCTCAATTTCTGGATATCTAAACATCTACCCAAATCAAACAAGCAAAAGATTCTTTCGAGAGAGCGTCATTGTCATGGTAATACCTATACCTATACTTATACTTATACAACTTCACACGCACATCCATTTTAGTATCTACATCTCCCGATCCCCAGATTTCCAGATCTCTCAAGTTTCAGATCTCCGAATCCACACATCCACAGATAATATAAATGGGAGAAGTGCCTCTTGCGGGATGCGGAATGCGAAATCCGGGGTGAGGGAAATGGGGTAGGGAGAAGGGAGATATCTTCATTATAGTAACGGATGAATATGGAGATTTTATTGGCAGAGTGCAAGTCAGGGTTGGATGGTGTTATGAGGATTATAATGTAGTATTATATTGTACGGATGTTTATAATTTTTATAATGTTATAGCCTTCTCATTTCACTTTTCTCTATTACCTTTTATCCCAATTAATAAAACACCTCTATAATTGTAATACACTACCTAGATTGACAATTCTTCTTACTAGATTTCTTATGAGCAAAATTCTTTAAAATCGTGTAATGGCGTAGTACCAATTCTATCTCTCCCCCTAATTTGTTTTTGCTTTGATGTATTGCGTTGCGCGCCCCATCTCGGCTTCCCGGAGAGGAAAGCTCCAGCTCCGAATAAATGGGGAATAGCGCTTAGTAAGGTTATTCTGACCTCGGGAAACAGGGTTCAATTGTAACCCAACAAGGTTAACTTGTGTATTCTACAGCAACGTATTGCATCAATTATCCTCTGATGAAATCTCTGAATGGAAAATAAAATGTAGAGAGATATAATGATGAAAGTGCTAGATGATGATAGTTGGACAGCCAGAACGGCTGAAATTCGAGAGAAAAAAATTGACATTCAATTTGCAGAGGGTTTCAAAAAGAAAAAGTCCACCATCGCCTTTGCCAAAACCTCTGAGCATGCCCTTGGTGCCGTTCTTTTCGAGATCTTCCCTGGGCTGAGTAAATAGATCTGTGATGCCGTAGTAGAATCTGTCCATAGATGCCTGCGGCTATTGTCAATGCTGTTGTATCATGAGGATTTGGAAGACTTCATTCTTTTTTTTTGCTGCTCTGAATCCACCATGAAGACTGATGTCGCGCGGAGTTTGCTTCACGGTAAGGTCGTGATATCATTTTGGCGCATTATGAAACCCTTTGGATAGACCAACGGATATATCTGCAGGTAGCCAAAGAATTCCTTTGAAATTCTGGACCTTCTTGTTGCAGCTTTTGAAAAGAAGCCACTTGTTACTTTCATCGACCATCCATCATTGTCTCTTCATTCTAGTGTTCCAAATCAGCCTCCTGGCCAAAATAGGTTCCTGAAGATTCTCTGTTTGATTGTTCTACGTCTCCGTCTTCATCTTCCACTTGTTCTAGAGCCTCTATATCGCTATGCCCAGAGACTCTTTCTTGGGGGGTTAGCTATAACAGCGACCACAACAAATGGCTGGATATCAGCATGTGAACCAATGACCTGGATCACAGTATGCAAGTGCAGTATAAATTGTTCTCGCTTTCTTCTACCGGTCGGGCCCCAATGGCTTTTTCATGACATGTGTCAATGAGGTCGATTTGAGAGGACAGAGAGTTTGGTTCAAGATGACTTCAAAATCTGGCGAAGTCGAGTCTCTATTCCTCGATGTTTTCTATATTCACCTGCGGACACTGATCCTACGTAAATTCCGTGGAACCACATAACGCACTACATCGCGTATCGAAAGGTAGTGAAAGTATGTATTAAAATGAGGGGCAATTCTAGTTTCTAACTAGCTAGAAAATACTATATCTCAGGTATTTAACCCCTTTTTAGCATTTAAGGACCTTTGCAGCTTTTTTCTTTTTTTTTTTGTCTTCAAGTTCTTCTGCAAATAAAAGCAAAAGTAAAATTTCTGATATATTCAAAGTATCTAATCGCCCGGGGTCTCTGGGATTCAGCTCCAAATTTACACACGTATTCATCCCTAGGTTCGCTAATTATAGTGATCCCGAGTCCGAACGAATTTGGAAAGGTCGCTAAATCACCTCCAGTCTACTCTATAGTCCCAAGGAAAGTCATTATTGTAATAACTCAAAGCTGATTCATCCCCTTCTGATGATTCTCGATCCTTCTTAAGAATTCTTGGTACTCTTACTCTAGATTGGCATTGCGATAATTATCGGATTGTTACCTTAAAAATGACCGATCAGTAGGGATTCTTGGCCTTTGCCCATCACCTATAATACGATACACACTCGCCTACACTGCTACAATATAAATACTGCAAAAACTTTTTCCTCTACACCACACCATCTTCAACCGAATACATTATGGTGGGGAGTCAACAAACTGGTGTCGAGGAAACATCAACCCAGCCTCCTATGCTAACCCCGTCCGAATTTAAAGCTTATAACAGACTAGCAGACCACATGGATTTATTCGTAAGGACTTGACTTGATAATCTCACAGTCCACCCAGAATAACACTGACAATTCCTCCTCAGCATAACAATTTCCGCAGGATGTGGAACGAGATCTACAGCGCCTGCACCAACAACAAACGCCCCAGCCACCAATCCATCCACGAATTCCTCAACCTCGCCGAATCTTTCTGTACTCAACTCACCCTCCACCATGCAATCGAAGAGCGGCACTTTTTCCCCGAGCTAGCCGCGCGAATGCCAGAGTTTCGCGAGGATCTTGTCGGCCAGCACCGTGAGATTCATTACGGACTAGACAAAATGCATCTATATGTGAAGATGTGTCGCACTGGCGAGACCGAGCTCCAGCTTTCCCATCTGAAAGCTTTGATGGAGAGCTTTGGGGAAGTTTTATGGGCACATCTGGATGATGAGGTTAGAGCTTTGGGGGCGGAGAATATGCGGAAATACTGGAATTTTCAGGAGATGGCTGAATTGTATCATTAGATGTGCTGTATGTCACTTAGTGACACGGAGGAAGCTGATACGATACATACCTAAGTAGTGGAGAAAATGAAGCTGGTTGAAGCGGGAAAACATTTTCTGAGCGAGAAGTGGGGATGAATAAAGTTAAGACGCATTAGACGGGAGGAACCACAAAATTCCAAGTCATATTCGAAGGCATACAGTAGTAGTTGTTGCATGGACTTTTGGAAATCCACAGTACAAAATTCTCTCTAAAATTGTAGTGTGGTTTTACTAACTAAGCTTATTGAAACCCCCCATAAAGAAGAATATCAGGATGTTCTTGAAACGTATAATACTTTTACTTAGTTTTTATAATATATACAAGTTGCAATGTGAGACATTGAAAGCTAGAATTTTAATGAATTTCTGAAAAGGATGACTTTTGGTGTAATTTGATAGTTTTTTTTTTTGAAGATACTCCCATGAATCTGTGCACCCACTGTTGATATTGGAAGATTTACGGCTAGCAAGTATTGATCAATGCCAATAATCCCACCAAGCAATTATACACTCTTTTAAGCACTTCCCGATCAAGAGAGACAAGCCTTGAAAATTTTTGAGAACACAACTGCTTCCAAGGTTGAATTATATAGATTAAGATTACTGCAAATATAAATAGATGCCTGTACACACATCACACTTATTTATCTTCCCATCAATCCGTGGAGTAGCGGAGCTTTCAAGGACTCTTACTGCCCATCTGAGCCATATTGCTACGAGATGTTGGGCTCATGATCTATACCGTCCAAAATTACAAGCCTTAGGAGCACAAATCAGTAAATGCAGGTCACAAGGGAGCTCCCAGATTCATCACTTCACTTGCCCCATTCCGTCCGTCAAGTGCGGACCGAGATAACTGTCCAGGAAAAAGGCCTATATTGAATATTAGTAAACCAACCCCAATTTATATAAATCTTAGATCGTCTCCATGCCCCTAGATTTTGCACTACAAAGAGAGAAGTTGTTAGCTCCAAGTCCCAGACTGGTTTAATTTCCTTCGAGGTGAACTGAAACTGCATGTATACCAGATAGCAAATAGCCAACCAGCTTCGGCCCTTGTAAGCCGGAAGCGTTGTAAATGTATCTGAAAACTCCATCAGTCAATCTCCACAGAAATAGTGAAGGTTCTGGCTTTCACGCAACGCTCATTGGAGGACTAATCAAGTTGAAGCTTTCGGGGATATATTCTGAAGTCTCTGCCACAGAAGTCGTGTTAAACGTGCAGGTGCCAGAACCCTGAAAATCTAAAGTAAGAAGATTTCACAAGACTGAAGTCATTATGGAATGCGAAATGTCCGACTCACGAGAACGTGTACTCGATTGGAATGCTTGTGAAGAGGATGACTGGGTTGGAGTGTAGAGATCTCGCCCGGTATTTCAAAGATTATATCCACCAAGGTATCGTTCTTTGTAGCAATGGCCAAGTGGCCAAGTGGCCAAGAAACTACTGGCTGCCGAAGAAGGATCCCATAAGAATAGTTTCATTATTTCTAAGGCAATACCATATGAACAAGTTTGTTGATCGGTCTACACTTCGGCATTCCGACTGAAATTTTGCATGAGTATTTACAGACGCAAGCAGTCTAGGGATAGTATGATTTATGGAAAGAGGTGGCGAAAACAGAAAGAAAGTACAGTATGGACGGAAAATGCATCTCACGAAACCTAACTGTGGAGTCCGGCATTTCGGACATGATCAACCTTATAGTCCCGAGTCCCGAACAAATTAGGGTTAGCGCACACCATCATCAATGGTAGGATCTCGAAGTTGTGGATTTACCAATGTCGTCGAAGCTGGTTGTCCATTAATCAGTATGACATGATGTAATCCAACATATTTAACACATGCCGACTCATGGAATATAAAATGCGTGTGTCCGGCATCGTTGTCTAGCATTCCATTCACATTGATCCCATTGATTCTTATAGTATTAAATTTTTCCCTTCGATAACCTTCATTTCCTATATCTCAACATGTCCAAGATTCTCACTGTTGTCGGTGCTACTGGGGCGCAAGGTGGCTCTGTAGTTGCCACCGCCTTGAAGTCGGGCGACTACAAGGTCCGCGGTATCACTCGCAATGTTGAGAGTGCCTCTGCCAAGGCCCTCACTGCGCAGGGCGTCGATATGGTGGCTGCGGACACTAACGATATGGCAAGCCTTGTTAAAGCATTTGAGGTAAGTGGTTTTTTAGCTCAATGGGGGCGAATAGCTAATACTACCATATACTAATTGAAATAGGGTTCTCATGCCATCTTCGTTGTCACCGACTTCTTCGCCCCCTTCGCTACCAAAGACGCCGAGGAGACCGTCACTATTGAGTCTACTCAGGGTATCAACTGCGCAAATGCTGCTTCCAAGACCACCACTCTTGAGCACTATATCTGGAGCACACTCCCTGACAACCAGAGAATCTCCAACGGAAAATGCTCTGTGCCTCACTTTGAAAGCAAGACCAAGGTCGATGAGTACATTCGCCAGAACAAGGCATTGCTGGCTAAGACGACTTTCCTTTTCATCACCTACTATGCCACAAATATTCTTATGCCCATGTTCACACCTACCCTTTTTGTGAGTCGAGTGTTCTCATTCCATCATCAATTGATATGTAATTTGGCTAATGTTCTATTTGACGTAGAAAACCACTGGCAAGCACGTCCAGCTGTTGCCTATCGCTGAAGACACCCCAATCACTACCCTTGGTGCGACAGTGATCAATACCGGAATCTACGTTCTTGCCATTCTTCAACAGCCTCAGCTTACTCTACCTGGTAGAACTGTTCTTGCCGAGACCGAGACACGCACTGCGAAAGATATCGTGAAACTCTGGTCTGAGGTCTCTGGACTCCCTGCCGAATATGCATCGATCTCCCTGGATCACTACGATGCCCTGTGGCCCAAGTGGGGCCGTGAAGTTGGACTCATGCTGCAGTTCTGGGACTACGCTCGCGAGAAAAGCTGGATTGCAGAGGATGCGATTATCAAGAAGGAGGACTTGGGCATCACCAACTTGGTTGGTATGAAAGAAGTCTTTGCTGGAATCGACTGGACTACCATTTAAGCGTTTAAATTCCACATTTTCCAGAACATTGAACTATATCAATTGGCAATACGCGTTACTGTTCTAAATAGCCATCTGACTTAGCGAAGAATCAAAACCCATCAACTTCTGTCCAATACGTGTTAGTGAATAAGGAGTGACGAGTTGAGTTGGAGGTGAAGGCGTCCATGAGGGAGGAAGAAAGAAAGAAAGAAATACAAAAAGGGCATTATGTGATGACATATCACAGCAATAGCCGTTGGCGACGATAACCCTGTCTTCGGTCGGATTTGTATGGAATGATACTTTAGATGGATCGGAGGCTTGAGGCTGCGATGAATGATGTCTTCTGAAGAATCGGTCAATCGTTATCTCATCCTCAGACCACATTGTGATTACATAATAAAATCAGGCTTGAGGCCTTGATTTCGAGGCAGGAGCCTCTCGAAGGTTCACCGTAGGGGATAAACGTCCTCCCGATCCCTGATTGGTCGAAAACTTTCGGTCATTAATAAGCAGCCCAAAATATCAATAGTATCAAAACGATCAATATAAAGATCAATAACCTCAATACTATGAACGTTTCATTGACGAAGAGGGTCTAATAAGGTGCATGTGACCTTATCTGCTTACTCAGCTTGCACGTGAAATAGCCTTAGTACATGTCCAGGTGACTTTTCTGACTAACATAACCTTGTTAACCTTCCTGCTGATATATCCGTACATCCGCATCCTCTCCCCCCTCACCGGCCCCGCGCCTTTCTGAAGGGAGATTCACCCAGATTTTTCTCTTATTCTTTTGTTTCAACGAAAATTGGCCATGGATGAACCCCAGGAGGAGCCCGAAGAAAGAAGGCGAGCCTTTACTTGCACATACTGCCGGCTTAAAAAGATCAAATGTAAGTTCGTAGGTGTGAAGATAGACAAAAAGGTTGACGCTATCATTAGGCGGTCGAACTCATCCATGTGGGAATTGTATAGTAAAAAAACACCAGATAGAATGCTTGAAATTGAACTCTCAAAATAACCGTTCAGATAGGATCACGGGAAAGAATGTGTCTTCCCATTTGTGAAACGAAGGGTCGGATCGAAGCGCGAAAAGCCTAGGAAAGACTTAGAAGAACGACTTGCACGAATGGAGTCTCTCCTTGAGCTTTCCAACAGAGAAAGCCTTCCAAGCAGTGAACAAAATGCAATAAGTTTCGTCCATAGAGAGCAGCAGTCTCAATTTTCAAATCCTGCAGAAGCCACCAGATCGGGAAACTCTGGTGCTATGCCGCATGACCCCGTGAGAAATACGGATCAGAATTACGATATGGGACTTGAACCACCAGAGAGTATTCCAACTCTCCGCTCTCTTACGACACAAGAGATAACGCAACAGTCTGCACCGTCCTCCTCCTTGGCACCGTCACAGATTCTCAGTTACCATACATCACCTCAAACGGTTCAGAATCTCTCGCCTCATGTCGAACATGTCGAATGTGCCGATCTTTTAGGTTCTGAGGTAGGTGACCCACCTCTGAAGCATAGCTTCCATCGCCAGCCATCCGTGGTATTAATGTGTTGAGTAGGTTGGATGGGAATATCATGGTATCGGACTTTTGATATTTTCTCTCTTCTAGCCTAACCATTCTATAGGGCCCACATCATTTTTGTCAATCTGCTCGATCCCAGGAATTACGTGGGTCTCAGAAACTTCGGGAGAGCCGAGTTTCTTCGAGACCGCTAAGGCCCTTGTGCTCAATATTGACTCGCGACTAAAGATGCGACGCAATCCTCGCCATGAAACCATTGCTGAGCCTGATAAGAATGTCGCATGGGAATGGTGCCAAGGTCTGATACATGTTACGTGACTCTCTTCTTGTTCTGATCCATTTTATAGCCTATTTTGATTATTCTTTCGACGCCAGCCTTGGTCTGGTGTCTAAAGAGCACTTTGAAGCACGTCTTCGCCATCACTTCGCTCAAAATGATGTAGCTGATGATGACCCAGCTTGGTATGCTCTGCGAAACACAGTGTATGCTTCTGGTTACAGGCTCAGCTCATCTAATATGCCATACTCAGATATGTCTGGCGAAATTCAGGGGCAAGCTTGGCGATACTTTGAAAAGGCCTTGGATGTCCATACTGAGCTTTTATATGGAAGCACGGGTCTTATGGCAGTGCAAGCATTGATAGCAATGGTTCGATTTTTCCATGCCACCGGCAGTTCGTCTTTGATCTGACAACTTTTTCATTGACAGGGATTCTTTGCTGAAGGCCTTGCTAGCCCTTCTCTTGGGTACATGCTTGTTTCCTGTGCAACGCGGTTAGCTCAGGCGAAAGGTCTCCACAGGCAACCTGCACAATCTTGGAATCTACCACTAGCTAAACAACAGCATCGAGTTAGACTGTTTTGGACCCTCTATATCCTCGAGAAGCATATAAGCTACAGATCAGGCCGACCATCGGTGAGTCTATCGTTGGTGAACTAGCGCTTTCAGAACCGAAAACTTAATAATTGGTGTAGATCATTGACGACGACGACATTAGTTGCCCCTTTCCAAACATCCAGCTTGCTAACAATACCCCGCACATTGATCCTTTCATTTACATGGTACAGCATGCTCAAATCTCTTCTCGAATCGCAAAGCAACTGGCAAGTGGAAAGGCATTCCGTCAAACACACTCGAAAACTCTGGAAGTGATTCAAGAACTCAACAAAGAGCTCCAAGAATGGCGGGACACTCTGCCACAATTCTTACAGCCAGATTCACCCACTACAAGACATGGAAAACGCCCAGAATACATCAATATGTACCATGTCATGTATCTTCGCTATGCTTACTATGGCAGTATCATGGCAATTCATTCAATTCTCACGCACCCCTGGAACAGCTCTCTGTTTGGTTCTGGTCAGTCTTCGGCACTGCGAAATCGCATTTCGATAAGTTCACATGCTGTTGTCAATGCAGCCAGGGGAATAATACTGGATACCGACGCAATTCATGTCGATGCATCGACACCTATATGGTATGTCTTTCAGCACAATTCACGTTCAGCTGGCTGTTGAATATGTTGAAACGCCTTATATTAAAATATGTGTAGGCTGGCATTCTATTTTCCTCTCGTGAGCGCTATCAATATATTTATCTATATTCTGAAATGCCCTGCTCTCCCAACAGCATCGTCTGATGTGGCCCTGCTAGACATCTGCACTGGTCACTTCAGCCGCTTGGAGTTAGCATCTCCAGACACTGCTTTGCCTTTCGTCCGGGAAATTGCGCGATTGGCCCGTTCAACTATCGAATCTGTCAAGAACTCAGCAGCATCTCCAGGCTCTTTATTAGGGACAGACGTCTTGGCGCCTTCGGTTGCGCAGTCCTCGGTTCCACATGATTTAGGGAACAACTATGTAAGTCTCAATTGCCATGCAAACAATTTTCACACATGACCGACTAGAAGCTAAGCAACATGAAATGCAGTCACCTGGTGAAAATATGTTGGAATTATTTTCGGATAATTGGGGTACAATCTTTCCATCTCTCAATGACGAAAATCTCGCTGCCTTCACGTTCGACTAACAATGGATCAAGCATTGTATCTGTGATCTATAAATTAGAACATAATAGAAATCATTTTTAAATATAATGATTAACCATATCGACTAAATTACTAGTCTTGTTTAAATATTTGCTTAACCTTTGTTTCACAATAGCAGTGAAAATTATATCGATTCTAATACTTAAACTTTAAATCCTAGGAAACAAGCAAGAAGGAGAAATACATGTTTAACTTACTTCTAACAGGTCTCTTAACATGGTGGGTATGACGAAAAATTTAAGGAGATTGATGTATGATTTTCCAATTTCACATTTTGAGCTTCGTTGAATATTGCATCTGGATCGCCGTCTGCGTTCTGTACGGAAGAGCAACTTGAGATTCCTCCCAGAAGCAGCTGTTCTTCTTCATCCTCACTATCGTCTCGGATTCATCTGCCTTTCACCGAACGCATCTGCCTTTAGCACGTATCCTTGCCGGTCATATCTTGGAATGTATCTTGGTGCTTGGAGACGAGAATGCACAAGTGCCCAATGCTTCTTTCTAACAAGCGGGGAAATGAAGCAGTCCTGAATATACCGCAATTGAAACTCAAAGTTATATATTGTCACATTCCCGATGCTGGTGCCCTTAAGGAAGCACTGGAAGGGCCACTCTTGATACTCGACTATCGCCGGCTCCGCATATACAGAACTCGGAAAGCATTGTAGTGAATAACAGCGATTGTTATAATTGGGCATTAGTGAATGCTTAATAGGGCTTTGTATAAAGGAGTCAATTAGAATAGACTAGCGATGTCATGCCATGCGATGCCATGCGATGCAATCAAAGATGATGACATATATTATCACGTTGAAACAAAGTGTGGTTGATAGGCAGTGAAATAAGCTTTCGCCATTTTCTAGGTTCTGTATTATCACCCCTCTCAATGCCGGTTTCGAAAATATTTTGCTGCTCTCTACATCCTTGCTATTTATTGTCTTTTCTCTTCATTGATCTTACGGTCATATCTCCTTGTTGCTGGGGGAGGAAGTATAACAAAGATCCATTCTCAAGCTCCTCAAAGTCACTATAACCGGAATCGCTTTGGTCTCGATTGCAAGTAGTCAAATGATGTGATAGCTCGATCGAATAGCCCAAAAGAGGAGAAAGGGAGCCATCCGTTGAGACATTCTCTTGCTTATCTGGATTTTGTTTATCGTCTCCTGCCACCAAAATATTTATACATAGTTATGAGATTGTCTTATCATCGTAGTCGAATACATATATACGTTGAGCATCATGACCACGTTGTAATCCTTCTATTAAAGCTCCAGGTACAAACGAGGATCAAGGACTGTCTCAACTGACGAAGAGTCATCATTATATATTGTTGGCAAAGCTATCATACCATTCCAAACTTTATTCTTCGGGCTCGAGTTTTCTCCTATATTGGCTTGCAATATGCTATATCGTGGAGGAAGATCGACTCCATATTCATCGTTGTTAGCATTTTCTTTGTCACTATTCTCTGTCCAGAGAACATTGGCCATTATCGGCCGGAATATACATCCATATATATCAAAGTCTTAGTTTGACCATGCATACATCGAGGTCCTAAGCCTGAACCAGCATCATTTGTTCTCTAAGTATCGTCAAATAATGCTTGATTTCGCACAATATGCTGTCCCTCCGGGAGGAACTATGTTCCTGGCTGTTTTCTCTCTTGTAACGCGGAGCGGTGGATGCATAGGTATAATAAATGAGTTCCAAAGAAATCATATCGTACTGAAAGTACAAAATGTGATAGATAATCTCTGCTATTCTGCGCTCTCTGAAAAGTACAAGCAAGTCAAACTGCCATGATAAGCAGCGCAGACAAAAACACGCAGGATCGAGAGATTTAGAAGCACAAAGCTCAAACACCTTTTCGCCCCACCTACCACAATATCCTCTTTGCAATTTTCTGCATTCTCTGATCGTTCCATCGCACATCCCAACCTGCGACTCTTCAGCTTTCCAAGGTGTCAAATTGGCTCCAGCAAACATTTCCATCGTAGAAATAACCATAACTTCGAACCATGTCCCAGCAAAAATATCAAGCATACCACGCTACCAATCCACTTTCATTTACTTCCAAGCCTCTTATACCCATCTGTATGCAGTTTGAGTGCTTGCAGTATCCAATCGTCTACACTAAGGTTCATAGTGAACTGCAAATTCGTTGATACAAATCGCTCCAATTCATCATAAATCGGTTCAAACCTAGACAATAACTGCATATCCTTCATTTTGTGATGCAGAAAGCGTGCTTGATTTCTCCCATTTCATGCTTACGCGATGTGCACCACCGCCAAACAAACAAACAAGTATATTACCATGATAAAGCATTTTTGCAATTGGGCAATATGTGCCACGGGGCCAGATGAGACTGGACAAACTTCTTGTCGCCAGCAGTATCGAGAATACAGTCAAGAGAGCTAGGGTTGTACAGTAACGAGAAGGACAAAGGCCAATTGAACTTTGTTGTGGATCTCGACATATACTTTGACTTATACCATCGACATGGTGAGATTGAATACCATTCCGAGAAATGGATGTCTTCTCTGTCGACTTAGCAATCGCAGCTTGACACGAATCACGAGGAAAGTTGCATTCTATAAGCTTCCACGCATTCTCATCATGCAAACACCTCGATCCCGATACAGTCCCCCGCGTGTCTCCAACATTGCACTCGGTGTCGAATGCGCCAATTTTGTAGATCCCTACTCCGCATATTCACAATCGGCCAATCTATCCTGGCGTTGTGGTTTCTATAAAACCCCTTTATAAGCTAAACATAAGACATATCCTGACTCCTTTTGATATAGCTACAGCTCTGAATAGAACTTATTTGAAGGTCACACAACTAACCTATCTCCGAGGTTCTTGTAGATACTTATAGCCGTTTACGAAAAATTTAGATCTCAACTCACCAGTGCTGTACGAGTAAAACATAAAAGATTGTACTTTATCATAAGGATCATCTATTTTTGTTATGAATCGGTTCAAATCTATGACAAAATCATCATTATACTTCCCAATCTTCTCGCGATCTCTCTCATCATAGCGTAGTATGATTTAAAATGAAATTCTTGAATCGGGCTTGTAAGTTAAGTTGTGATACCGCACTACCGATGCTCTTCTCCTTTAACTCTATCTATCTATACTCTCGAGTATGTAGCTTTCGACTATTCGGGTATGTTTTACCATCGCCTCGTTCCCTCCGTTTTACGTATAATTCTTCCTAGCTACTTATGAACCCCATCATACCCCAAGAGGCTCGCCTTCATTTCTCTATTCCCCTATTATGTATCTGATTACACACACACACACACACACAAGCATTTTACAGAAAAAAGACCCTTTACACAAAAAATTCATATGTATTTTGGGTATTCGCATCACTCACTATACTACTACTTTCTTCTGCCTTCACTCACTCCCTCCTGAAGCACATGATATTCCATACAAACACACCTCCAATCTCTCCTCTCTTCCTTGCCCCTCTCAGTGCTAACTAACCATCAAAATACAGCCCCCCAACACCATCCAAATGCAACGCAAGCAATGCTTTCCTTACCACACACTATCTAGATACAAGCCAATCCATTTTGTAAAATACCATATATGCACGCACTTCCGTAATTTTTGAGATTTCCTTATTTCCCAACTTCAAATATGTTTTTGAAGACCACAACCCCATCCATAAACTCCCCCCAAAGCCAAATTCAAATACATAGAACCAATGAACTCCATGCGCACTCAAGGTTTTCTATGTGAAATAGCCATGAACAAAATGTAGCAGTAGATTTTGCGAGCGCTCGTAATCTAACATCATCAAAACTGTAAAACACTTATTATTCAACGCTTTCTTTGTCTCTTCGCCACTTCGCTTCTAGTTTGTCTCTCTTCCTCAACTGCCGGTGGTAAAATAGGAGCCGCTTTCTTAGTTTGCTTACGATTTCGTGGTTGATCCGAATGCAAATGACCCAATTCTTCAATTGCCGTATTGTTGTGCCAGGATAAGCATCGATGAGCTGTGTGATCAACATGAGGTTGTTGTTTTCCACGAGTCGACATTCGCTTGTGACTAGAATCGATACTCTTTTCATCGCTAGGGTTGAGGTATTCCTTGCGCTTTTCCATGTGAGTGGTGATCTTGTCCTTGTAAAGTTGGAGTTCTTTTCGAAGTTTCAACTCATTATTTCCACGGGCATCAAGCCAATTGAGTAAGCCCTCAACTGACTCAGGATCGTCATAGTATCCCCACTCACGAGAATTGAATACATGAGTATTGCCTTCCTCCATAACCTTTCTTTCCGGTACAGTCAGATTGAATTTATAACGATACTCATCTTGCCACTCAGGTCGCATTTCGATGTAACCTTCACGCTCAAGATCATCTGGTCCTTGAATCCAGATACAGCCGTTGGCATATCCAGCACCAGCAGTAGAGCTGGTAGGAAGACCACTATATGGCATACCATTGCGCTCAAACCAATAATAGCGATTCCAGAATCGATCCTTACCAAGTACGCGAGTACGAGGGCAATCAGCTTCTCGAAGGTCATTATCAAGAATTGCAATTTCTTCCTCGCAATGCTTAATCTCATCATGCAATTTCTGAATGTCTTTGAGGACTTTTGTGAGGGCCTTGGATTGTTTAGGAGCCTTAGGTTCAGCTTCTGCTTTTGCTTTCTTCTCCTGTTCGGCCTCACGCTTACGCTTTCGCTCTGCTGCTCGATCCAATCCACGGCGTAATGATCGAGTTGGAGGAGCGTCTCCATCCGAGTCCATAATTTCATCACCGTGAGAGTCCTGAACCTCATCCTCAGCGTCGACCATAGTTACATCTCCGTTAACACTGACTGAAGCTTCTTTCTCTGCAGGCTTCTCTGCAGCTGGTGCAGGACTTGGCTCAGGTGGTGGTTCAAGTGCTTTGCGCGTTTCGTTGAGCTTCTTGAGGGCATCATGACTAATACGGTTAGTAACTTCTCCCAAAAATGATATTGAATAACTTACGCATCCTTCTTATCACGCTGATACTTTATCTTTTCTTTTCGGAGCTCCGTCATATGTTCACTACTCTCTTCCATGTAACCACGAATTGCTTTAGTCTCCATAGTAAGCATGCAAATAATCTGGAGTGCCTTGATACGAAGATTGACGTCGAGTTTAGCGTACTGTAAGCGAGCAGTTTCCTGTGTTGGCTCCGAATCGAGGGGGGCGAGCTCAACAAGGAGTGCTTCACAAGCGGCAAAATGCCTCTCATCTTTCGAAAGTTGATACAGGAGGCCGACCATGATAGCTTCCCAGCCACCATTCTTGAAATCACGTTTTCTTAGCTTCTCGATCCATTCAAGACTATCTTCCATCTCCGCTGCGCGATGAGTGTTGACTGGTCCAGCGGGCTCTTCGGGAGGTTGTTCGGCGGCTCTTTGTAAAGCTTCTGCCTCAGCTTTTGCGAGACTACTTCTAGTAGCACGTCCTCTAGGTTTTGGCTCTGGTTCTGGTGTAGGCGATGGCGCAACGCTGGCCTCACCATTAGATTCTTCTTCGTCGTCTGACTCCTCTATTTCCGGTAACTGAATTTGTAGCTTTCCATCATCGGCTTCCGAATTAACCAAGATCTTCAAAACAGCACAATGAATTTCGACGAACAGTTCGCAGTCTACGTCTTCAGATGTAAATTGTAAGGCTTCGACGAAGTCGTCAAAAGTGAACGAGTCCAATTTGAAGATTTGACAGTAAACATTCAAGGTGTCCCAGGTCTCCAACAACTGGCCGATCGATGACATGTGAATGCCATTACCCTCGGCCTTTGGTTTTCCTATCATCATTGGATTATCCTGCGAAAAGTATTTGATATCGGGTCGTTTCGGTCCATCAACTCGGGGAGGAACTTCCAAATCCTCAATTGGGTATTTGATAGGAGGTGGTGGAGGAGGAGCCGGAGGAAGCGAAGCAAGAGGCGCAAGCGCAAAGCTAGAATTGTGAAAATTCTGGAAGTGGGGTCCCGCTTGTTGTGATTGTCCATTGACTTGAAAGGTGTGAGACATGAAGGGAGGAGCTTGAGGATGATGATTGAATGGAATTTGAGGAGGGGGATTATAATTGGGGTGGGGATGAGAAGGATGAGGAGGAGGGTGAGAATTGAATGGAATTTGTGGTGGATTGTAATTGGGGTGGGGTTGGGGGTAGAATTGATGGGGAGGGAAATGTGCGGGGATGAAATTCAAAGGAGCTTGCTCTAAAAATGGCTGCTGCTTACCCTTTGCTAGTTGGGATTGTTGCTGCTTGCTTTTATGGCTTTTGGGTGCTGGCTTCAACTCCGGGAGTCTAGCTTGTGGTCCATTTCCTCCATGAAAGCTACCAATCATATTATCAAAATCAGTCCCTCCCGTTTTTTTCTGAGATTGATGATGTTTTCTTTCTGCAGCTTTACTCTCATATCGAAGATGTGGAGGGATCCTGGTGTCGATATTATAAATGGCGGCCACGTCGTGCTTCA